TTTACTATGTAGGATATCATCAAGGAGTATTAACATTATATCACAGTATGTATTTATCATTGTTGAACCATTTTCATGCGTGATGTTTCGCAAACATGTTTTTATTCTTTTTAATATTGAAAAAGATCGTTCGTAGCTAGCAATTTTAACTGAGAGAGTTTATAAAATTTATAAAAGATTGAAATTAGCAAAGAAAATCGATATATTATATTTTTGAAGAGCGTTAATAGCATTTTTTGAAAAATCTTGAGTTCCAGCAAATTTTCGCCAAATTTTAGTTTTACTCACATACTGCAATCTAAATTATCTTGATACATTTCAACTAGTTACTTAATTTTTTATTCGTCAAGTATACAAATGGATGATGGTAAAATAAAATTAACATTTTAAATTATAGACCTGTGAGATAAAAAACACTCATTTAATTTATTTAAAAAATGATCTGCAAATGGATTGAATAAAAATATTTTGTAATAATCCTCAGGAATATTAACCTGTAAATTAACCTACCGCTGATGCTGTGATTATGATTGGTACCTTGTGGCAATACCATTTACAATAGGTTTCTATACAATTTATTTACCTTTTACCATATTATTCGTTAAAATTGAGCCTGTTTTCAAAGAATTTTCAAAAAATTTCTGTTCAGTAAATTCTTAATTCTGATGATACCCCAGTGATTTCTTTTAAAATATACACTCCAATTTGTTTCTAAAAATATAATTTCTATTATTTCTTTCTTTTGATTATATAATTTAATATTATATAACATCCATTTAGTAAAATCACTTGTTAAATTAAATGGATATCACTTAATAAATGTATAGATTAAGTGAAAAGGACAATATTTTTACTTTTTTATGATATCTTTATAATATAAATATTATAAAATTATAAATTATAAATTTAATTTATATGTACATTTTATGATTTAATTTTAAATGAAACAATATATTGTTTCATTTATGCATTTATTCATTTATTTATTTTTAGTGCCAAAAAACTAAAAAAAAACTAGGAAAAACTGTCATATACATATAAAAATTTTCCTTGTTCTTCCGTTTTTTTTTGTGTGGATATATCTGATCGGCTATCATTAAAATAGGTCATATTAAAATGTTGTCCGAAACGTCACGCTGGATGTCACACTCATCGAGTATTTTTCAATTAACTCATTGTTGTAACACGATCACATAATCGTGTTCATTAGTACTACCTACCATCAGTAGCTTATCTAACCAGAAAAATATTTTGTGAGGATATTTTCAATTTTCAATTCTCTCCTACATAAGTACCAACTCTTTCATATTAATAAGTCGTTTAAAATTAAGTTAAAATATAAAATGTGTTATTATTTAGTTTACTGAAGCTGTGAAAATTGTCTAACAATGATATGATATATTATTTAACATATATCTAAAAATTATTGTATATTTTATAAAATAAGAAAAACATTTCGAAGGAAATATAACCCGATAACCTGACTATGCCACTACATACCATAGATTAAGTTTTACCATTAATAATATCTTGGTTATATATATTATAAAGTTCGTTTTTTCTCATAAATTACAAATTTACTTTACATCAAGATAATAGTAACATCTAAATATGTAATCTGCAATGCTGTTATGCATAAAAAAAATCTAATATATTCTTTTTTTATAATGTAAAGGGGATGAACCCCTCCTTCGTGTTTCGGCCCTAACATAGGTATTAAACTATCAGAGGCAAAATATTGCAGTAGAATCGTTTTATGAGTAGGTACCATAATAAAGGCATTGGTTAAACTAATTAAATATATGTATTATATTATAGTGTTTATATTATTCACCATACATTTTGTATGGTTCAATTTTCACTTTTATTTAGCTATTGTTTGATCTAAATTGGTTATCGGTTTGCCGTCACAACTCACAACGTACAGCACATAATGTATCGGTGTAAGTAGGTAACATTATTATATATACAGCTTATTGTGCACACATGACACGTGTACATTGAAGGTGTTTTAATTAATAGATATTTATAAAATATTATTATGTTGTAACTGGCTGAACTCATCGATGAGAAACGATTTCCTAACTTATATGTTGTCAAAAACTTTTATTAACACCTGATGATGGCCGATGAGGATATATTAGACATTTAAATGTTAAATCCAATATATTAAATAATATAATTGTATAATTAATCTAATATTTTGCTATTCTGTAAGAGCAATATGACAAATTTATTTGTCATTTTAAAATTCACGTTTAAAATCCGTAAAATTTTTAAGTACATGAATATAACGTTATTTCATTAACATTTATTAATAATTTTAATAGAATATTTTTAAAGGTTTCTTTACATTATGTAGGAGGAGAGGGATACGCAGCAAACATTGGTGTTAGAATATAAGATAATATATGCACTTTAGTTTAATAGGTAAATTCAATTATGTATGTAAGATAGGATTAGATGACCTCCGAAGATGTGAAGATAATACATTTTAAGTCATAAATTAATAATGCAAAGAAACTTATCTAAATTTAATGAATGTGAAATCAATCATTAAGAATCATTTTAAAAGAGGAACCGAATTGTTACTTGAATGCTACACCACTTATGTTTTATAAAGATTATCGATCTCCGTATATGGAATCGGTATTATTTGTGTTGTATTTTAATTACAGAAAAATCAAATCATAAGTGTAACTCACCGTTCACTAGCTCAGTATAATAAATTTAAGTTTATAATTTTCTTTTCATACTTCAAATAAAAATAGTTTAAATCCATTTTCCTATTTTCTTTTTAGCATTATTGAATACGGAAATTTCAACAAAATATGAAATTTAAGCAATTTCTGTTTTTCATGAAGCAAAATTTAAAAAAAATTAGAATATCAATATTTTAACTGCATATTCATACACATAAGCCTAATTTTTTAGTTTTAAAGGAACTATAGTTCTAAATAAAATTGTAAAGTACACAGCTTTTAATATCGTATGATATTATACCTATACTTAAATTGAAGAGTCCGATGCAAGAACAAGGTATCTCCACTTTTTGAAATTGTTTAGGAGAAACAAATAATCAAATTATTTGATTTCTAATGAGGTTATAATAATTTTAAAAACATATTTAAAATCTCCAAATGAAGAGCTACCTATACATGTATCCATATTTACATTTTAGATTATTTTTAGTACATGATTTAACTAGCAAAAATGAAGAAACATGGAGATACCTGGTTATTGCACCAAAATATTTATTTTTTTTTTCATATTTTGAATTAACAACAATTTAAGGTGAAATTATAACCACAAATAGGACGAAACTGTGCAACATTAAAATTGTGTATTATAAACTATGTTTAACAACATAGTATAATGAAAAACAACAAATTCTTGATTTATAATAATAAATTAACTAAAAATTACGGAGATATCCGGTTATTACACCGAAATTCACGTTTTTTTCTTAATTTTGTTTTTACTTGTTTTTCGCTAATCTTTTTATAAGTGTTGGGAATTTTAATTTTGGGCCTCTTCAAAGTACAAACTAGATTCACTTTTCTACCAGAAAAGGTACTGATATCAAAAAAATAAGCATTTTTGTTGATAAAAAATTGTTGAAGACAATAAAAATCCTCTTAAAAATATTTGCTAAGCTTTCAATTTTTACTGTAACTGCTGAATGATAATTTTTGAAAAATAATAAAAGATAAATGTGTTCTATAATGACTGAGTCTAGATTAAACGATTTAGGAATATTAAATCCTTATATTGATAGACTTCTAGACATTAAGGTTAGTTATTAGATTGGCAACGATTTTACTAGAAAAAAAAAATAAAAATGCAATTAGAACACTGATCAATCCAAATTCTAATTGTGTAAATTACATTGCTAAGACGTATCAAGAAATAATACTAAAAATATTAATAATTTTTAGATACAAAAGGTAAATAAGGTATATTATTATTATTATTATAAGATATATTTGTATTGTTTATATTTTTTAAAAATGTTTAATAATGTAGATACATTATCTACGTATTATATGTTAACAAAAAACAAATCTAAAATTAAAAAAATTAAAAGATTAACACTCATTTTTTGCTAAATACATATCATAATGCGTATTTATAAAAAGGGAATCAAGGTTTAAGGAACTCATATCTTTCTGAAGAGTAAACAAAATACCTACTTGCACATAACACAACTGATTTTCTTCAACATTTAAACCACAATGATTAGTTTGTTTTTAATCTAAAATCGTATACAGTAAAACCTGTCTTATGTGGAATTGCACGGGACCAATAAAACTTTCGGTTTTAGACAGGTTTCCTTATAACTGAATATAACGGAAAATTCCGTACTATACAGTTACGATATACTGCACGATTAAAGTTGTAACATTTTCCGGTCAATAATAAAAATAAAAATATTAAAAATTAATAAATATCATAGGCTACAATAAATTTTAATTTTTAGTAAATAATTATAATAACAAGTATATTAATTAAATATTTCCAAATAATGATAAATTAAAATTTTAAAAACATTTAGTAGGTACTAATAAAATAATATAATATAATAAAATAAAAAAAAATAGGTCGGTTATAATACAATTATAAATTCCAAAACTCGTGTAATGTTTTTTGTCTGGTTTTTTCTGTAGCAATTCTGTATTCTGTAGATAATTCAGATAGTACTGATATTTTATCGACATTAGCAATAAGTGATTGCATCAGGAGTCGGCGATAATACAACTTAACACAGTAAATAATACCTTGATCCATAGGCTGTATAATCGAAGTTGTATTGGGAGGGACCCAAGCTAATTTTATGTTTGATATATCGAGTTTTGGATGACATGCGGCATTATCCAAAAAAATAATGATATGTTTATTTTTTTTTAACATTTTACTGTTAAATTTTATTAACCAATCTTCCATAATACTTCCAGTCATCCAAGCCTTTTTGTTAGAGTACCATGAAACTGGCAATTTTTCTACATCAATATTTTTGAAACATCAAGGCTTTGCTGCTTTTCCTATTACTAATGGTTTTTCCATTTCACCGCCCATGTTTCCACAAAGAAGAAATGTTATTCTTTCTTTTGAAAGTTTA